CTTCTATAGTTTAGAAAGTGTTAAAAACATCCAAATTGCAGAACTGAAATGTGTGTGTTCGTGGGGACTCAGAGCCATCTGTTCTGAGCAGGAGAGAGAGGCAGAGATGAAGCATTCCGAACAAAACTCATGAGGCAGGCCTGGGCTGGGGCTCCAACAAATCCCATCTTGGCAATGCCAGGAGCAGAGGGGAGGGCCTGTGGGTGGTGATCGGTGGAGAAGGTAATCAAAGGGTGGACACAAATGGCATATGGAAGCTAATGGAGGGTGGAGTCAATCAGGGAGAAAATGTGTTTTCCAGAGGGGCCAGGAGAGAAATCTGGCTGGTTTCTGTGTTAGTCAGAGCAACAGACACACGCACATGATACAAATCAACACATAATTCTGAGCACCTACTAAATGTCATTTACTCATTCAGTCAACAAACATTCTCAGAACACCTCCTCAGTACCTATCTGCAGAGATGAATCAGACAGGGTATGGGCCCTCCAGGCTCACAGACTGGAAGTGGGTGAATGTGGGGGTGGGTGTGTGTGGGGGTGGGGAGTGGACATGATCACATACAAACATAATTAGCACAAAGTGTTTTGCATGATGAAGGGATGCACAGGTGACTCAAGTAGCCCAGAAGATGAAATAATATTTGTTCAGGTGACCCAGGGAGGGCTTCCTGGAGGAAGTCCTGTCTGTGCTCAGTTTCTAAAGGACAAGTGGGAGGAGGGAACTAGGTAGACAGGATAGGCAGAGCGTGACCGAAGAGCCTGGGGTGAGGGCGTTGCCCATATGACGCTCTCCGTGGTACTGAACCATCATTGCATTAATAGGAGGACAAGGGCTTTTGTGTTGAGGCGAGAGTAGGAACTATGATGTCTGTCCAGAAGGTATCCAGCCATATACTATGAAAAATAGAGATATTTATTGACTAAGATACAAGAGACAAGAAACATTGTACATAGGACAATCATGCCTCAGTCCCTTTCAAAGTAGACACCTTGGGACCTCGCACAGTTCTTCCAATTGCCATCAGCTGCCCTCTCATATTTTTCTGAATCTCACTGATGGTCTGAAATCTCTTCTCTTTGAAAGGTGATTTTAGTTTTGGGAAAAACCAGAAGTCACAGGATGCCAAATATGGGCAGTAAAAGTCTGAGTCACCTGGGTGATTTGATGTTTCTCAAAAAAACTCTGCACAAGACGTGATGCATGAGTGGATGTGTTGTCACGATGAAGCCACCAGTCACCAGTTGTCCATGGCTGCAGCCTTCTGAATCATCTGAATAGTTTCCATGGGGGAATGTTCAAGCTTAATGCAAAATCTGATGCAGATTCATTGATCTGCTCTCTCAGTCATTTTGAATGCGATGGCCACACAGTACACATGCTCACTCAATGTCGTCTACCACCCTCACTGACCAGTATGATGAAGTTGTCATTGTTCATGCATGTGCAATCCAGTCCACTCTCCTTGGCTGCTAGGTTACATCAATGTTGTGAACACTGTTCTCATTACATTAACAATGGCTGGACTTTTTCCAGACAGGCCTCATATACACCAGTGCCCCCAATTCCTGCCACTCCTCTTGGTTCCAGGAAGTACAGTAACTGTGAGTGAGTTTAGGGAGCTCAATTTTCAGTGTGGTGGAATGTAATTTTGAGAGATGTGCCGCAGTATCTGAAGCTGGAGATTGGCATGTGTCATAAAGAGTTATGAAGGGTCTTGGAGATCATGTTAAGGAACTTAGATATTTTTAATCCTGTAGGCAGTAAGGAGCCATGGAAAGGTTTTGTACAAGGTTAGTGATGGGGTCATATGTGTGATTTAGAAAATTGCTGGCAAGAAATATGGAGAAAAGACTGGAGGGGGACGTTGGGACAGGTGATGTGGAACTTTCAAAGGGTCTGAGTGAGACTGAGAGGTTTGTGCTAAGTCAGTAAGCAATGGAGACATTGGGAGATATTAAAGAAAAAAATGGACAGAACCCAGGTGAAGGAGCTGAGGGAGAAGGAGTCTCAAATGGCTCCCAGGCTTCCTGCTTGGTGACAATGTGGGTGATGGTGCTCTTTGTCAAGGGACAAATGATTCCATGGTGGGAGAGATTTAGAGGAAAGATGAGGAGTTCCATTTTGGATGCTCTGAGTTCCAGGTGCTGTGTGATGTCTAGGAGAGAATGTATGGAAGACCACACATGGGCCTACTACTTGGAGATGAGGCCACATCCAGAGATGGAGACTGGCGTGTCATGGGCACGGGACAATTGCTGAGAGCCGATGCGTAGGTGAGAGGCTGCCAAGGGAGGGTGTGCCAAGTGAGAAGGGAAGAGACTGAGGCCCCAGCCCCGGAAACACTGTCATGTAGGAGGGTGGGTAGAGAAGAGGTGGACTGAGCTCCCACTTATCAGCCTTGGGGGAGTTGGTGTTTTTCAGACAGTGTTCTGCAAAGCTCTAGACATCTCACATGATGTTCTGTGGTCTAGGACACATGGGTTGTGGCAGCCTGTACCTCCTCCTGGGAGCCTTGCAGTGTACAGTCTCAGATTAAAGGCTCTGAACAGTCCCTCGGTAAGGAAATCTACTTCTCTGTGTTTACCCCACCATTTCCCAAATATACTCCCCCCTGGAATACTGGTCACTAATGTCCTGTGCTCCATTTGTTTTGAAGTTATGGTCTAGACCTAATGAATGCTTATCAGAAGGCCCTTTAGCCATCATTGAGTTCAGCCTCACATTATGCCGGTGAGAAGACTGTGGCTGGGAGAAGCTAAGAGCAGTCTCTTGGGGCAACAGATGAAACACCGGACTGGGAGTAGATGCACCAGGGCTTAGTGCAAGCTCCATCATTTACTAGGTATGTGATCTCAGGCAGATCAGTTCTTTTCCCTGGAACTCAGCTCCTTCTTTGGCGATATGGAGATAAGAACCTTAGCTGTCCAGAGGCCTCCAGAAGGCCACTGTAACTCGCTCAGGACCACACAGCTGAAAAGATGAGGAATTTGGGGAGTGGGAAGGGCTCTTAAGGCTAGGTTTAGAGTCAAGGTTGTGCCTCACTCACAACGGGACACAGTTCACAGCCAGACACTGCTGTAGCTGGCTCCGTCGCACGTGCGAGGCATTGCCAGGGCCCAGTCTCAGCCCCATGGAGCTCTTGGGCCTGTCTTTGCCTTTTAGTCACCTATCACCCTAGGCCACCCATCGGACCTTCCCCCGTCCGGCTTGGCAGGCTTGAGCTCAGCAAGCTGGAAAGAGGCAGCGAGGCAACTTTCAGAATGAAATCTGCTTTTCTAACCCTCCCATCGCAGTCATTCATACCCAACACGCCGAAGCGTATTTTTAGTCACTTAGTAGAATTTAAAATACACCTCAAGGGCGCCAAAAACCACCAGCTTGGGGATTAGCTCTGCTCACGAGACAGTGGGGCGGGTGTGTGTGTGTTTGGGGGAGTGCCTTGTGCTGTGTCACCCGTTTGCTATGTCATAGCTCACTGTAGCCGATACCCTGCCTGTGGGCTTTGGGCCTGCGGGAGACTGCAGTAGGGACTGAGCTCCCAATCCCGGGGTTTGGTATCAGAGCCCTGGGTCATCACCATCCTTGTCCCTGACTGGTCACAGATCCACGATGGGGTCATTTCTAGGCCCTGAGACCTGCCTGTGAAACACAGGGAATAATGGTTTCTCAGGGTCTGTCCAATTCTGTACCATTCTGTCCTCAGTGTTTTGCTTGTACAGAATTTTAATTTCAATCAAAGCCTCAAACAGATGACTGGTGGGGGGGCACAGAACCGGGGCACAGAACCAGGGCACCTCTGAGATGGGTGACAGTGGTGACTGTGATTCTGAACACAGAAGCTACCCAGCCACTCTGCCTGGGAGACAGGACTCCTTCCACAAACCACTTACTGACTTCCAGATTGTCTGAATCTTGTCCTCCTATCTACCCCAGAGAGAAAAACTGAGACCAAGAGAGAGAAACAGACCCAGAGAGTTAGGACTGTAGCCCAGGGTCATTCCTCCCTCTAGAGCAAAGCTGGGCTGGGGTGGAGGCTTCTGTTTTCCACTCAGCCTGGTCCCTTACCTTGTGCACAGCTGGAAGGCTGACGCTTGGAGATGCCACACCCTCAGGAGAGGAGGCCCCTTCTTATTGCCCTGTTTCTAGTGGGCCCTAATCGGCGCCCTGGCTCTCCCTGCCAGCGGCTGCCTCTCTGTGAGACAGGGGGAGTAGGGTCCCAGTGCACAACACGAATGGGCCCAGGGGGAGCGCCCGTGGGAGGGTGACCTGGATTTCACTGGAGAGGTTGCCAACATAACCTTGTGTGCCTGTCGTAACCCTGGGTCCCAGGGGTCCCGGTCACGCTTCTTGGTTCTTACAGAGCTCTCCCTGAACTGATTAAATCAGTGCGGGTGAGCAGCGGCTGGGGCAACTACGGGTTCTTCTACAGGAGCCCTCGACTTAACTGAGACCCTCTCTCCAGGGCGTGCATATGTCTTGAGCTTGAGTCTTCAGCTGTCTCCTAGACTCTCCGTCAAGAGCCCACTCTCGTGTTACGGAGTGGGGAGGGAGGGCACTGAGTGGGTACTGGGGAGTCGTGCTTCCCGCACCCGGTTTCTAGCTCCGTAGCTCCCTCAAATTCCCTCCGGATCCTAGCCCACCTCCATGGTCGCGCGGCTCCAGCATGACTGCGCCCCCGTCGGGCAGAGGGGACTCTGCAGCTCGGCACCCCCCACCCCACCCCGCCGCCCCGCGGGGCAGCACGTGCGGGGCGGAGTTGTGACTCCAGCCTGGAGCTGATTGGGCGCGGCCTGGTGGGCGGAGCCGGACCTCAGCTGTCAGAGCCGCCGCGGCGGCGGCGACGGCGCACCGTGCTGAACCTCGGCTGCGCCGCACCCGGGGCTGAAGCGCAGGAGCCGACGGGGCCCGGTCGGGATGGTGCAGTGGCGGCTCCGCGGCGCGCACACGCACTGAGTGGGCCCAAGCTGGGCCGCACGCCCCCCGCGCCCCCCGCCGCCGCGATCCCGGCCGGCATGATGTGCCTGGAATGCGCCTCAGCGGCGGCGGGCGGCGCGGAGGAGGAGGAGGCGGACGCGGAGCGGCGCCGGCGCCGGGGGGCGCAGCTAGGGACTAGCGGAGCTGGTTGCTGCGGGGCGCGGGCAGCGGGCGCCGCTGGAGTCGCGGCCGCCGACGATGAGGTGCAGACGCTGTCGGGCAGTGTGAGACGGGCCCCGTCGGGACCTCCAAGCACCCCCAGCACCCCCAGCTGCGCAGCCGCTGCCAAGGGCCCGGGCGCGCAGCAGCCCAAACCCGCCAGCTTGGGCCGCTGGCGGTGGGCAGCCGCCGCCATCCTCAGCTTGGGCAACGTGCTCAACTACCTGGACAGGTACACCGTAGTAGGTGAGCTAGTGCCCCACCCAGCCCGACAACGAGGACCCCCCGCCTCGAGGTACCCCGGGGAGTCTTTGGTCCCAGACCTTCTATATCCAAGCCTTACGGGGGTTCCTAAGGGTCCTCCGCTCAGGCACAGCTGGGCAAGTGATGCCCCGCGACCCATGGGTCCAGTCCAGGGACCACCCCCCGCCCAGGGCCAGGGGTTGGGGGAGCCCCCACCCCTGGAATAGCCCACACGTCCTCGCCAGCCCTTGACGTCCCATCCGTTGTCCTCTTTTCTGAGAGTCTCCTCTATGTCTCCGCCTTCTCGCCTCTGCGCCCCCTTCCGCCCCCGCCTCAGATTTTCGGTCCTCTCCTCCCCTTCCCCCAGCCCAGGCGGTCTGTGGATCTGTAGCCGGTCAGTTCCTTCCTTCCTCCGCCGCCTCCACTCCCCTGCGTCCCTGCGGCGAGTGCGCGCGCCCCTTGCGGGTGTGCACTAGGGGAGACCAAGTGTGTGAGAGGGGGCAGCGCGGATGTGTGTGTGAGCGTGTGAGTGTGTGAGCGCGTGGCTGACAAAGGCTCGGGGCTGCGGGGAGAGGAGGGAGGGGCGGGAGCGGGTCCGTGGCGCCTGGGGACCCAGGATGCGGTTTGCAGCTGGCCCTGGCCAGAGGCCTGTAGACGCCTCCCCCTGCTCTATGGCGTCTGGGGCCTGGGGTAGGACGCAGGCCATTGAGGCTAGGGAAGGGTGGCCTCATCTTCTGTGAGCATGTCTAGGAACCAGCCTTTGGGGCCCATAGAACAACCCGGTTCCGATCCCGGGTTTGCCTCTCCTGCGCTTTATGTGTGACCTTGGGCCAGTCTCAGCTTGTGTTTAGGTCTGTCTCCCTGTTTGTGAGGTGGTTGATCCCTGGGCCCTTTGGAGATGGAATTCCAGTCTGCTCTCTTCTCTCCCCTAGTTCTCAGGATCTGTGAGTGGGGACTTTCCCTAGTCCGAGCTTCCCCTCTGCGGGAACGGTGCAGCCTTGGGAGGAAAGGGCTCTGTCCAGGCTGGCACAGTGGGGGCTCTTTGCTGGAGGAGAGCTGTGCCAGTATACCTGGCACGCTGATCCAGAGTTTGCCTAACCACAGCTTAGTAAAATCTGGAACTACCAAAACAAAACAACAAAACAAAACACCGAAAACCCAGGAGGAATTTTGGACGGACTTTAAAGAGAACTTTGTGGTGATAGAGAGGAGCGTGGTGGCATAAAGCAGATGCTACCTGGGTCCCTTTCTCTGGGCCTCAGCCTCCTTCTCTGTTATGGGGATTTTGCGTCAAGCGGAAGGGAAGCACTCTCGTGGGAGAGCAGGGGCTTCCCCCTTTTCCCACTCCTGCTTTCAAAACCTTTGGCTCCCTCTGTCCCTCCACTGCAGGTGGGCAATGGGTACAGGCAGCACCTGTTTCTTGGGTGGGCTTTCCCCGGGAGGCTTTTACTTTGCTCTGGTAAACAGGAATATGCAGTATGGCCCAAATGCACTGGCCCACCGTGCATGTTCCTGCCTGGGACCTGGGAGATGAAGCGCTACCCTAAGATGGCGAGAAGTCAGAGAACGTTGGGACTGTAGTCAGTGCAAAATAGACTTCTGTGTACAGAGGGGGAAGCCGGGGCCTCTGTACTACCCTGTCCAAGATGGCCTGCGGTGCGCACAACAGGATGGCATTAGATCTCCCAGTAAAGCTTGCCTAGGAAGAGGTTTTCCACCCCTTCTCAGCTGAGCACTGGATGGTGCTGCTTCTGGCAATGTAGCACTTCCCAACATGTGTTTTCCCGGCCCCAGATCACCCCCTCTGATATTCTTAGGGAAGCTGACTCGACCAGGGGCTGAGGGGGAGAGGGTGGGATCAGGGGGTCTGGTGCTCATCTGCCCCCACACCAACGTGGGTGGGCTTTGGGCCACAGAGTCAGAATATCAGAATGGCGGAAGAAGATAGGAAATTTCTGGTGCATTGGTAAGGGGGGATGGGGAGCAGTGGCTACAAGGGGCATGGGCAGTAGGGAGGAAGGCCCGGAAAGCCCTGTGCAAACACCCGCCTGGGGTGTGCATCCCCTCTTTCCCAGCCAGGGCCAGGGCTCGTGCACGGCCGCGCCTTAAACACACGGCGCACACAGATTTCCTCTCCGGATAGGCCTGGCTTCTCTCCCTCTCTTTATGGTGGATTTCCCCCACAGTCCCCTGGCCCCAAGTTCAGTTGTTAGGAAGATTTACTGTCTCTATGGCAACTACAAAGACTTGCCGGTCTTGGGAAGGGGCAGGGGAAGGCTCATCCCTGGTCTGAGTCCACCTGCTTCTGGCTGACCCAGCTGAGAAAGCGAAGGATGCTGACCCTCTGCTGCTCAGCCACTTTTGATGTTCTCCGCCCCAAGAACCTCACACTCTGGTCCTGGCCTCCCTCTCATAAAAGGGAATTACCACTCTCTTCCTTTAAGTCGGTCCTATGAATTTCTGTCTTCATGGTACAGATCAGCTCTGTCCAAAAGGAATTTAATACAAGCCCCATATATAATTAAAAATTTCCAGTAGCCACATTAAAAAGGTAAAAAGAAATAAGCGGACCAAATTAATAGATATTATTCAACCCAATATACCCAACACATTTCAGCATGTAATCAATATAAAAGTTATGAATGGGGTATTTTGCCTTCTTTCTCATACTGAGTTCCGACATGCAGTGTGTGTTTGACATTTATCACGCATGTCAGTTTAGACAAGTTGTGTTTCAGGTGCTCAGCAGACACAGTGGCTGGGGTCATGCTGTGCACAGTGCAGCTCTAGTGTTTTTGATGCTAGAGTTTGGATCCAGGCTCTTCAACTACCAGCTGTGTGACCTTGAGGGTGTCGCCTGAGCCTTCCGGGTGATCATCTCCTTCCTTCCGCCTCTGGGGTCGTGTGGAGCAAATGGGACTGGCTCTTAGGCCTCTGGGACAAGGCCAGACTCTCAGGAGAGCTGCACAAATGTCAGCTGCCGTGTCTCTCATGCCTCTGTTCAAGCTGTGCCCCAGCCATGACACCCTTCCCACTCTTCTCTGTTTCACACAGTCTCTTTGAGGACACCGTTTTGAACCCCTCCCTCCTCCACCAGGGCTGGTCTCCGTCCTGGGAACAACTGTAGGTTCTGCCTCTGCCCTGGCATTCCCAGCGCCACCCAGCGATCCAGCTAATTATGGCCTGGCCTCCCCGCCCTGAGAACCCCCTGCGGGCCAGGCCTTGGAGCACAGGAGGAGAGCCCTGCTCCCGCTTTCCTCCCTGAGTGATGCTTCAGTTGGATGAAACTGAGGTGGCCTGGAAACCAACCCTTCTCAGCTCTTCCCTCCGCTGCCTTGTGCGGATGGGGACACTGATGCCTGGAGAGTGCACGCACTTATCCAAGGTCACGCGCAGGGCAGAGCAGAACCAGAACCCCCAGCGCAGCGTTTTCTTGGTGGAGGTGGGGCTTGACGTGCCCCCTGCTTCTGGCTGAGAAACTCAGAGACTCTGGGCCCACGGGTTTCGGCTCAGTTTAACAGAGGCAGTCTGAGCTCCCCCAGGGCGCGTGGCTTCTGCTCCCATGGCCCCTACCAGCCTGGCAGCCACCCACTCTTCTTTCTGAGTCCATCCGTGGCTGCCGGGTTAGGAGAAGGAGGGAGCCCCTTTGGTGAATATCCCAGGTCCGCTCTTTCCCTCTTTGCTTCTTGGTGCCAGAGTCCCTCTGCCCCTGGGCTCCCATTCTCTCATCTGTAAAGTGGAAGCAGAGCTAGGGGTGTAGGTGGAAGCCTCTTGCTTCTGGAAACAGCCCTCAAGACGGGGTGGGGCCTGGTGCTGGCCCTGTGCGTGGTTGGAGAATGGCTATTTGAGATCTGGGATCTCATCTTCTCCGGGGTACCTGTCCCTTCCTACGTTCTTTTCCTTTGCTCCATGGCAGATTGGTGCTTGAAACTGGGTGGGGCGGGGGCTGGTGAGGAGAGGCAGAACCCTGCCCTGGGGGAGTCCTTTTCTGCCAAAGAAGCTGAGACCGGTATCCGTGGCAACCACTCACTAACACAAACCTGGAAGGAGAGCTGAACACAGGGACCCAGCCAAGAGCACAAGCCTGGCAGGGCCTGGGGGCTTCCCCAGACACCTGAGCTGGGTACAGGAGAGGGCTGCCAGGCTGGGTGTCTGGTCGAGTCTGGACAGAGCTGACAGATGGGGAAATGCGGGCCCAGGCTCTTTTATAGAATCACCTGCGTGGGTGGAGGCCAAGTTAAGCCTCACCTTTGTGGCTATCTTTGTAGATGCGGATAGTCAATACCACCTCCATGCTGCCTCCTTGGGTGGCCCTGCCTTGGCCTCTGCCACATCATCACTACCACAAGTCTGCAGGGCAGGGTGTCCCAGGGCCGCATTCCAGAGCACCTGCCTGGCAGGTCGGCCCTCAGGTGGACAACAGACCAGCCAGGAATGCCCACACCCTAATGACTAACTGCCAGCTGCCCATTTCCTTCATCCTTCTTCCTCCTCAGGCATCTGTGGTTGATTTTGCCAGCTCCTTGGCTGTGCTGTGGACCCATCAGAGGACATGCCTTGAAACTCACCGTTGGGCTGGGACCCAGGGCCATTGAATGCCCCAGCCTGTGCCTTTGTTTCCCACTTTCTGAGTGGGGCCGGCAGGCTGCAGCGCTGTAGTTTACAGCCTGATCTGTGAGTGAGGCTGCCCGGGTCAGAGCTGCTCACACAGGAAGGAGCTCCATGTCCCTTCCCCAGAAAGGAAGTGGCTTTTGTTTCTGCCCACGTGCGGACTCCTGAAATCCTGAGAGTAGAGAGGGAGTGAGAGGATGGAAGCAGAGGGGACACTGGCTTGATCCCCAGGCTCCTGGGGCTGGGCTCCCTGTTGGGCTCTGAAAAGCTCCTGGGCTGAGTACCTGGCTTTGCCGGACTTGCTGTGTGACCTGATGGAGACCCCAACCCTCTCTGAGCCCTGGGTCCACAATAGGTGGTTTTGCTTCTCTCTTTTTGTGGTCAGGGCCTTG